TGGAAGTCTTGGTACAGGGCGACCAACGCCGTGCCTTGGAAACTGCTCTACTTCGGCGGGGACTGAAAACGCAATGGATTGACGTGACAGACAAGACCAAGAAGAAGAAGTAGACCACGGCCAACGGACTCAGGTGGTGTGCAAGGGCGACGATAGCTTGATTTGGTGGACTTGGCTATTCCATTGGTATCATTCTACATTTCATAGCAATCTGATCTGATCCCATAATGAAACCCCATGGTGTATACTTGCCTGCAATAGTTCGCAGAGGTGATGGCTTTTCGCTGGAAGGAGCGGCTTTGACAGGGCCAAGACACAAACCCTCATACTATGATATCCCGTTATACACGCCTGGTACAGAATCATGCCTCCGGGATGAGCTGGTAACGTACTAAGTAATCCCGCCTTTTATGTCCCAGACGCTAGTGGTGTCAAAAACACGATACTAACATTCGAGATCTATCACCTACTAGGACCAGGTCTATTGAATTGATAGTCTGAGCTTGATGTGTTGACCAACCCTGAGCATAATAAATACTTTTTGTTCGTTTTGTCGGGCTCCTTCGAATCGCCACTACTTACCTTACCACCAAGTATTAACCTACCTCTAGTCTGCGTGCGCCTGCCATTTTAGGACCGCACGTAGACACCCTGGAGCTTGAGGGCTTGTTCTTTACACGGCTTAAGACTATTGGAACTTCTTTCTGAGAACTTCCAAACTTTCGACTCCCAATTCACCATCTTGGTTACAATTGTTTTCTTAACCCTACATCTATTCCACCGTGCTCTATGTAAAACACCTTTTTTGTTTTTGTATGAATCATTCGTTTTCCAGATTTTGTCTATTGTGGTCAATGTGGTCAAGATAGTTCTCTTCCTGGAAAGTGCAGCCCTTTTTTGAGACGATAGATACGGTGATCAAATCTCCTAGCAAAGGATCGATCAAAGCCAACACGGTCTCTACGCTTGCTCCATTCCGACAAGCCGACTTTTTTGATGCACCGCTTCCGCCTTATTCCTAGTTACGCATATCGCCATATACTGCAGAACGCTATTTGGAACGGAGGTGAGAACCACGCATGTGCCCGAGTTTGATATTCTGGGATTGAAGTCGCTGCCCCGGAACATATTAGTGATGGGCAGAGGTGATGAAACCGGACTCGTGAGGCCATGGCCTCCCAAAGACGTAGGTTCCCTATCTTGGTTTTCGATCTCCTCCATGCGTGTCCCACATTTGACGGATGATTCAGATAGCATATATGTCGATTGCCATGCCACTTTTACTGGCAGCGTTTCTGGAATGGTTCCTGTTTTTAGCAGCCTTCTTGTACTGCTTTGTCAAGGCCTATCAGAAGGCAGACCGCTGGAGTATCAAAGCTCTCGCAGTGGTTCTTATGATTATTTTCTCTATGCTAAGGTACAAAAAATATCAGATTTGTTTGACAGGAGCATAATACTAATGGATCACTCGAAGAGGTATTTTCCTCCCGGTTATGCTTGTCACTCTTCCATTGCCAGCTCAGATCACACGGCGTTACCCCAAGAAAATGGTCTCCTTCCTTCAGTGGTTTGCATTCTGGACGTTCGCCACGCTTTTAACTTTACCCTGGCTTTTTTGTGTCTACAGGGTGGTCACAAGCTCCTTGGGACGGACAAAACGAATCAAGAACGCCCTGGACGACCGTACAGCGCCCAAGACAGTTATTGTCATCCCCGTATACAAGGAAGACCCGGAGATCTTGATAAAGGCAATTGATTCGGTCGTTCGCAGCGACTATCCATCTTATTGCATTCATGTGTTCCTCTCGTATGACGGAGACGCCATCGACGAATCCTATCTCCAGGTCATCCACCAGCTTGGTATTCCAGTCGCATTCAAAGACCATCCGCGAAGCATAGATGTGACTTATCGAGGCGCCAGAATTACAGTATCGCGCTTTGAGCACGGAGGAAAACGGCATTGCCAGAAACAGACATTTAAGCTAATCGACCGAGTGTACTCGGACTATCTTAAACACAACGACAATCTCTTTATGCTGTTCATTGACTCTGATTGTATCCTCGACAAGTTGGCTCTTCAGAATTTCATGTACGACATGGACCTGAAGCCGGGGAGCAAGTCCAACATGCTAGCCATGACAGGGATTATTACTTCCACCACAGAGAATAATTCTCTCCTCACTGTGCTTCAGGATATGGAATATATTCACGGTCAGCTCCTCGAGCGTTCCGTGGAGTCGGGCTGCGGCGCCGTGACTTGTCTCCCTGGGGCATTGACAATCTTACGGTTTTCGGCCTTTCGAAAAATGGCCAAATACTACTTCATGGACAAAGCCGAGCAGTGTGATGACCTCTTCGATTTTGGGAAATGCCATTTGGGCGAAGATCGTTGGTTAACACATTTACTTATGATCGGAGCTAAGGAACGCTATCAGATCCAAATGTGCACCAGTGCATTCTGCAAAACCGAAGCAGTCCAGACATTTCGCAGCCTTTTGAAGCAACGGCGTCGTTGGTTCCTCGGGTATTTGACCAACGAGGTGTGCATGTTGACTGATACTCGCTTATGGAGGCGGTACCCTCTTCTATGCCTGGTTCGCCTTGCACAGGATACAGTTCGGACGACAAGTCTACTATTCCCCGTAATGGTTATCTCACTCATTACGACCTCGCACAGGGTGGAAGACCTTCCTGTGGGATTTATTGGTGTGTCTTTAGGGCTCAATTATCTACTCATGCTCTACTTTGGAGCAAAGTTGAAGCGATACAAGGCTTGGCTTTATCCACTGATGTTTATATTGAACCCATTCTTCAATTGGCTCTATGTGGTGTATGGAGTTTTGACTGCCGGGCAACGAACATGGGGAGGGCCGAGAGCAGATGCTGCCAAAGCAGACGGAGATACCACCTTTGGAAGAGGAAGTTTGCAAACTAAAGTGCAGGAGCATGAGATGATCGCCCGGATTGATCCATTTCGGACAAAAACAGACGAGGAAAAGCCATCCGTTCACTTTGGAGATCACACCGAGGAGTATCCCCCATCACATCATCCCGGGATCTACAAGTCTACGCGATTTGACTTGGATACCTCAGCCCCGAGGCTTGTGGCCAACCCTGTCGACGTCCCTCTCCATCCATACTGCTCAGCCAATTCGGCCCAAACGTGGAATTCTGGATCAGAGTCTATCTGTTTGCCACAACATGTGGAGTGCCTAACCGGCGTTGGAGATCCGATAAAGCACGTTCAAACTCGAAGAGCACATGATTCCGTGGCGGCTTCAAGTCGATGCAGTTGCCAGGATGTTGATAATACGCTGGAAAACTCAATGTCTCAATCGACCGGGTATACTGAACTTTCTGATACAATTAGTCCAATTGTACCATGCCAGGGGACCCGAAAACAGCGGAGAGCAGCAAAAGACAACAGTGATCGTGTCCCAATACCACTGAGCTACCAAGATTTCGGGCCCCGATATCCACAACCACGAGCTGCGAGGGGAATGTATGAGCGTGATCTTGGCATAAAACGCCATCAAGAGAACTTGGGCACTCCGATTTAGACAGTGAGCGAACGATGAACAAGGACAAGCTCTGCGAAAGCATCTTGGGGGAATGAATGTTCGGACCGAGGTGGATTAGAAGTTGAACGAGCGCTGTACTTTTCTTCCTTTTGAACTTTTCTCCTACTCCTCTGTATTATCATGGTCCACAAGCGTCTGTTTGGTTACTTTTTTATTTGTATAGTATACACCTACGGTGATCCCCACCGAGGAATAAGGCGGCGCACTCCCTATTGATTATCACTTTCTCCAGGCAATTCAAATTCTGGGACATCCCTGAAATCTTACTATATTACATTCACTGGGAAGGCTTGATTGCACGGTTGCGAAGGTAATAATGTGCAGTAGTGGCCAGGCTAGGGAACTTTCGAGAATGGTAGATCCAACCCTATAGAGACAGCTTGACAAAGGCGGCTACATTGGAAGCCCAATTGCCTCGTACATGGAAAAGAAAAGGCGAGCAAACCGAAGAGACTAGTTTAATGAAATTAGGATGTCCATAATCTCGCAGAGGATGCGGACTCATGTCCTCGTCATAATCGCCTGAATCCTTTTGTCTAATATAGTTCCGCTTGGCTTTCTCTTCATATGCCGAGCGAGCCCTTGATATCCGGATGTTATCGGCAACGTGCGCGACACATGAGGATCATGCTGTCCGACTGCATATGATGCTTGGCTTGTACATACCATGCCACGTGGACAGACCCTGAAACACTACGAATGTACTCCTAGAAAAAAAGTCCTATTATGTGGAATGTGGCCCTACACCGTAGTACTGTAAGAGTAGTATCCTTGAAAACTGTGACACAGGATGGCTCCACATGAAGCAGGAGCCAAGAAGCCAAGAGGCCAAAATAAAAACCCGTCTGTTCATCTTAATCAAGCTCAAGAGGGAACAAAGAGAAAAATGCCCTCGACAAAGGGAGGGTAGAGGGTGTATGAAACCTGTCCAAATGATCAGTCCGATCAACCTGTCACATGTGACTAACTGGATTGGACGGCCAAAAGATTCTGCCACCGCTTCGGGACCACAGGATGTCCACTAGTAGTTTGTCTTGTCTAATGAAGTGACTAGGTAAGCTGGGCATTAGCTAATAGCAAGAATTAATTACGTGGTTTGTGCCCATTCTAGAAAAATAAAACTCTGATCATTACTACCCAATGGGTTAACATTATTAATATTATTCTATCGATAAGCCACTTGGGTTTGCCCCGCCAAGGCGGTGAACCGCGGGTTCTGCAGGGGTGGGCGCAGGCGGTGAAGGGCGGAAAGGATCCAGCAGGAGCTAGAAGGTTCGACGGATATGATCACTCTGGCCTCTATAGTCATTTTGAACGGGCTCAGGGTGTTTTGGGAGGTATATAGATTATATATGGTGTATGGAATATCTTCATATCTTTGATCTAGTTTATATTTTATAAATTTCACGAGACCAAATAGTGTGGACGAAAGTACAGTCAAGTTCGTGTGATTGATACTGACGAGCCAGGACAGCCCACGTCGGCACTAGCCACATCTGCAATCCGTCATCGCCTTTCCCTCCCCCCCCCAAATGGTGGCGGCGCTCTGGAAAATCTCCCCTCCTGCTTTCTCGCTCTTTTCCGCCTCTGGATTCTCCCACTCTCTTCCATATCACATTTATTCCACTTTTCTCCCCCCCGTCTCTCCCCCTCCTCTCACCTTACCCACGTTACCATCCATTTTTCTCTAGACAATGAGTGTCGTCGGCATTGATTTCGGTGCGCAGAGCACCAAGATTGGTGTTGCCCGTAATAAGGGTATTGATATTGTGCGTATATCTTATGCCCTTATCCAAGCTTGACTCTCTACCCGTTCCACCTCGTCACTGCCTGGACTTTGCTAACGTCGCATGTGTGATTTAGATCACAAATGAAGTTTCCAACAGATCTACCCCGTAAGTTAATTTGTTCTGTCTTCTTCCTGTCCGTTTTCTTTGGGGAAGTTTTAGGTGGGGTGATAAACTAGATAACTGACTTGATCCGTTTAGCACGTTGGTTGGGTTCAACGCCAGAAGCAGAGCCATCGGTGAGGCAGCCAAGACGCAAGAGACTTCCAACTTGAAGAACACCGTCGGCAACCTGAAGCGCTTGATCGGCCGTTCCTTCAGCGACCCCGATGTCCAGCTCGAGCAGGAGTACAACACTTGTCGCCTCTGTGACGTGAACGGCCAAGCAGGTGCCGAGGTTAACTACCTGGGAAAGAAGGAGACCTTCAATGCCACTCAGCTCGTGGCCATGTACCTGACCAAGATCAGGGACATCACCTCCAAGGAACTGAGACTCCCGGTATCCGATGTCACAATTAGCGTTCCCGCCTGGTTCACAGATGTTCAGCGTCGGGCGATGATCGACGCCGGTGAGATTGCCGGCTTGAAGGTCCTGAGACTGGTCAACGACACTACCGCCACTGCTCTTGGCTACGGTATCACCAAGGTCGACTTGCCCGGCCCCGAGGAGAAACCCCGCCGAGTGATGTTCGTCGACATCGGACACAGCGACTACACCGCCTCCATCGTCGAGTTCCGCAAGGGCGAGCTCAACGTGAAGAGCACGGCCTACGACCGTCACTTCGGTGGCCGTAACTTCGACCGCGCTCTGACGGAGCACTTTGCCAACGAGTTTAAGACCCAGTTCAAGATCGATGTCCGTACGAACCCCAAGGCTTGGGCTCGTACCCTGGCCGCCGCGGAGAAGATGAAGAAGGTTCTCTCCGCCAACCCCGCCGCCCCGATGAGCATCGAGTCGCTCATGGACGATGTCGATGTCCGTGCCATTGTGAAGCGTGAGGAGCTGGAGGTCATGGTTCAGCCCCTGCTGGAGCGCGTCACGGTCCCCATCGAGCAGGCCCTTGCCGAGGCCAAGCTGAAGCCCGAAGATATCGATTTCGTCGAGATGGTTGGTGGCTGCACCCGTGTGCCTTCCATCAAGGATGCCATCACCAAGTTCTTTGGTGGCAAGACTCTGTCCTTCACCCTCAACCAGGATGAGGCCATCGCTCGTGGCGCCGCCTTCAGCTGCGCCATCCTGTCCCCCGTCTTCCGTGTGCGCGACTTCGCCGTGCACGACATCGTGAACTACCCCATCGAGTTCACCTGGGAGCAGTCCGCCGATATCCCGGATGAGGACACCAGCCTGACCGTCTTCAACCGTGGCAATGTCATGCCCTCCACCAAGATCCTCACCTTCTACCGCAAGCAGCCCTTCGATCTGGAGGCTCGCTACGCCAAGCCCGAGATGCTCCCCGGCAAGATCAACCCCTGGATTGGCCGCTTCTCCGTCAAGGGCGTCAAGGCTGATGCCAACGACGACTTCATGATCTGCAAGCTCAAGGCTCGCCTGAACCTGCACGGTATCCTGAACCTCGAGTCCGGCTACTACGTTGAGGATGTTGAGGTTGAGGAGCCCGTCCCCGAGGAGAACGGTGATGTACGTTCTGATCTTTCCTTCTTCGCCCCCTTGCGTTCCCCAAACAGTCAAGTCACGTGCTAACATGCAACCAGGCCATGGACACCGACAACGCCAACGGCGAGCAGCCCAAGAAGACCCGCAAGGTCAAGAAGCAGGTCCGCAAGGGCGATCTGCCCATCTCTTCCGGCACCTCCTCCGCTGAGGAAGTCGTGAAGAACGACCTGGCCGAGAAGGAGAACAAGATGTACATGGATGACAAGCTCATCGCCGAGACCGACGAGAAGAAGAACGAGCTCGAGTCGTATATCTACGAGCTCCGTGACAAGATCGACTCTGTCTATGGAGACTTTGCCAGTGAGGAAGAGAAGGATAAGCTGCGGGCGAAGCTGACCGACACCGAGGTATGATTCTCTCCCAACCCTACAAACCCACCAGGCACCCGATACTGACTTGCCATGCAGGATTGGTTATATGAAGAGGGTGAAGACACCACCAAGTCCATCTACGTCGCCAAGATGGACGACATCCGCTTCATCGTGGGCCCCATCGTCCAGCGTTACCGCGAGAAGGCCGAGGCCGAGGCCGCGGCCATCCAGAAGGTCAAGGACGAAGAGGCCGCCAAGAAGCGCGCCGAGGAAGACGCCAAGCGCAAGGCCGAAGAGGAGGCTAAGAAGGCTGCGGATGCCGCCAACAAGTCCGATGACAAGACCGACGCGGAGATGAAAGATGCTTCGGAGGGCCAGGCCGAAGAGAAGCAGTAGAAAGTGTCGCCTATAGAAGAACCGCCCGCCCTATATCAGTGAGGCCGAGGTTCACAAAATCCTGATGACTATGGCCACGAACAAACAAATCAATTATTGACACCAAAAATCGTCATTATTTTTTTACTTCAATCTTCTTTTTCTTTTTTTCTTTCCCTTTGTTTTATATTCTTTTTTACCTCTCGACTTTTACCGCGAGATTGGCCAGCTGGTGTAGAATGACTTTGGCGATCCTTTACGTGACGACTGCCTCTCGGGCCCGATGCAAAAGCAATTGACAAACGAAAACAAAACGATTTGAACTGGAGCGAAATCCCGTGGGGTTTATTAGATGATGACGGTGTTGGGATGGAATGGAAAAGTGAAGACCTAGATCGAGCATTGTGCATAGACCAAGGAAAAGGAGACATATTTACTGAGGTTCATTACGAATAATAGGATTCTGATTGATTGTGCTACTATGTTATTCTGCTATGCTGTTCTGAGATTGTAGATCGCCTGAATCTAGGATTAGAGCAAGGTAATAAATAGAGCAAAAAGAAAGTAAAGAGTGTTGTTTTCGAGGCTTGTCGAACTGGGCTGGGTATACGTTTCGCCCCACACCATGTTGTCCATACTTTGTGATATCCCAAGTGACTGCTAACAAAAAAGGAGCAGACATGAATCAAGGTTGATGGTGGATACATACTCAATTCTAGACTATTACTCCGTAGTAACTATCCGTGGAATCTACTAAACAGAAGACAAGACCCAGCCATCTCACCAAGCCCCCTAATAAACAACCCACCAAAGACAAGGCTAAAACCAAGCCAAAAATACACCCAAGTGGGGGAGCTCCCCCGACAGACGAGGGTCCCCCCGGCCGCCGACGGGAAATCGTCTATTTTAGCCTGCGATGATCCCACCACCAAGCTCGATAGATCTTCAGGAACGCGGCGTTGATTATCTGACACCCCGGTGGTGTTCCGGTCACGTGGCGGATGGGCTGTGGCGGGCTTATCGTCGTTATCTCCGGATGACAAAGCGGGGATTAATGATGGAATGTCATCGAAGGAGTGGATTGTTGCCTCCGGGTTGAGTTTACTATTATATCTACGGCTGCATAGCGTTCGCGTTCTTCATTGTACATATGTACTAATTTTTCTACATGATTTAAATCATAACCACTCCAACTCTCCAGATACAAATACAGCCAGAAATCCGCGACTGAAAAAAAAGACAGAAGGAGGAACAAGATGGACCTCACAATCCACCACAGCGGCACCCCGCACAAGCTACACCTGCCAGACCCAACCACAGCAACCCTCCAAGACCTAGCATCACAAATCGCATCCACCCTGCACATCCCCCCCGAGAACCAAAAGCTCCTGATCGCCCCAAAACCAGGAATGCAGAAGCCCCCCTTCGCAGCAACCCCGCTCCACACGCTCATCCCCATCCCGCTCGACTCCCCCCGCCTCAAAATCACCCTCTTCGGCACTCCCAGCGAAGCGATCTCCGCCCTACACGCCCAAGGCGAATCAACCCGGCGACAAGCAGAAGCACGCGCGCAGGCACTCGCCTCGCAGCGACAGCGCCAAGCCAAAGCCACGCCCACCACCTCCCGCAGCGGCGGAATCCACACCCTCTCCGGCGGCAGCGACAGCAAAAACTACACCTTCCACACCCTCACCCCGCTCCCGTACCTGCCCAACCCAACCCGGTCCCTGCACTTCCTCACCCGCCTCCGCGACGACCCGGGCATCCGCGCCGCCATGGCAAAGCACCAGTTCTCCGTGCCGCTGCTCACGGAGATGGACCCCGCGCTGCACACAACGAGCGACTCGCGCACGCTCGGCCTGAACCGCAACAAGGGGCAGGCGATTGAGTTGCGTCTTAGGACGGATGCGTACGACGGGTATCGCGATTACAGGACGATTCGGAAGACGCTGTGCCATGAGCTGGCGCACTGTGTGCATAGTGAGCATGATCGGGCGTTTTGGGATCTGACGGCGCGCATTGAGAGGGAGGTGGAGGGGGCGGATTGGACGAGTGGGGGGCGGAGGGTGGATGAGGGGGAGTTTTATAATCCCGGGGAGTGGGAGGGGTTTCAGGGAGGTGGCGGGGTGGTTGATGAGAGGGGGTGGAGCGGGGGGGAGTACCTGTTGGGGGGTGGTAGGAGTGGGAGGGTTGGTGGTGAGGTTGTGGAGGGGAGGAGGGAGATGTTGGCTAGGGCGGCGGAGGAGAGGATGAGGAGGGAGAAGAGGAGGGATGAGGATGGGGAAGGGGAGGATGGGAGGGCTTGATTTAGGGAGATTGATTTGTAGATTATGAGATACGATTAACGTGACTTCATTGAGATACACATATCTACTATATGCCATCTACCGACATTTATCTTTGTCATTGTACAATTGTAAGTCAAAAGGATGAATCCAAGGAGATAAGATCAATGCCAAAACATTATCAATCATCTCATCCAAGACAAGCACAATCAAATCTGCTCGTTCACAAACAATCCAGCCATACCCTGCCCAGTCCCAATACACATGCTAGTCACCAAAACCTTCTTATTAGCACGACGCGCCTCGCTCAGCGCAGTACAGATCTGGCGCGCGCCCGTCGCTCCCAGCGGGTGGCCGAGGGCGATAGCGCCACCACGGGGGTTCACCTTGGCGTGGTCCAGGCCCAGGTTGTTAACGCAGTAGACAGCCATGGACGCAAAGGCCTCGTTGATCTCGTAGAGGTCGATTTCGTCCTTGTTGAGGTTGAACTTGGTGAGCAGCTTGGGAATCGCCGCCGTGGGGCCGATCCCCATGATGCGGGGCGGCACGCCGGCGACTGTGGCGCCGCAGAATTTGGCCAGGATGGGCTGGTTCAGTTCGATGGCCTTGGAGCGGCGCATGAGCAGGAGCGCGGCGCCGCCGTCGGTCACCTGGCTGGAGTTACCGCCGGTGCTGCGGTTGCCGAACTGGGGAAAAGCGGGGCGGATTTTCGCGAGCGACTCCGCGGTGGTGCCGTAGCGGACGCCCTCGTCCCTGGAGACAGTGATAGTCTTCACCTCGCCGGTCTTGGGGTCCTTGACCTTGGTAGTGACGGGGAGGATCTCGTCGTCGAACCATCCGGCCTTCTGGGCGGCTTCGGCGCGCCGGAACGACTCCGCGGCGTACTTGTCCTGCGATTCGCGCGAGATGTTGAAGTCCGAACCGACGTTCTCGGAAGTCTGGCCCATCGGCTGCATGCAGTCGGCGGCTTCCTGGTTCTTGAGGACCTCTTCGTTGAAAGGGCGGCCAATACGGTCTCCGTTGGAGGACATGGACTCCGCGCCCACGGCGACTCCGATGTCGATCGCTCCGAGCTGGATCTGGCTCGCGATATCTTGCACGGCCTTCAGACCGGACGAGCAGAAGCGGTTCACGGAGGAGCCGCCGGCGGTGTGGGGGATACCGGCTGCAAGGGAGGCGGCGCGGACGAGGTAGGCGGCTTTGCCGTCTCCGACCTGTGTACCATTGTGTCAGGTTGTGTTGGGTTGATGATTCAGGGGAACTGGGAGGAGAAGGGGGAGAAGAACGTACATTGCCGAGACAGACATCTTCGATCAGAGCGGGATCGATCTTCGACTTGGCGATCAGCTCCTTCAGCAAGACGTAGACGATGTAATCCAGTTCGGTGTCCTTGAAGCTACCCTTAAAGGCCTTGGCCAGGGGAGTACGCATCGCAAAGGTGATGACAATGTCATCGGGGTTTTTCTGGGTGCTTCTGGCTATCAGAACTCGGTCTAATTGATACAACAGTAGCTCGGGTGTACTCACATCGCATTGATACCGCTTCCACCACCAGGCTTGAGGTGGCTCAGGATGGAGCTCAAACGATCGGCGGCCATCTTGTTCAGTATGTGGGTATGGAAGCTGATCCAAGTCAATATGTGTGGATAGTAGGACTAGAAGGGTGGTGTTGCGAGGGAGAGCTGGGAGGTGGTCTGAGAATGCGGGGAAACTCCAATAATTGGGGTTGCAGCCGGGTTACGTACGGAGTTGGAGACGGGGTTGTGGATGTAGGGGATTGTAGGAAGAGAGGAAGAAGAGCACCTACATGGGGTTGAAATAGTTAAATGGAGAGGACAGGGAAGAGTGATCAAAAGGAAGAAAGAAAAGCGGAGAGACATTCAGAGTGAATGGGATTAGTAGGTCATCGCAGCCGAGTGACAGCCGAGGCACATCCAGTTCCAGTGTTATCCGACGGTTGTAGTTACTATATATCTGGTATTCACTTGCCAGGATATAGTGTCTTACATTGATTCTTGATTGAATATTCAAGTAATAGTATTGATGGCCTGGTTTTTTTCTTCTATATCTGGACTCAATGAAGAACAGCAGTCTTTAATAAGAGTGGATGGTTCACCGGACGTCTAGTACTATTCCTCTCCTTACTATATGTAGAGTGGTAATTTCTTCTTTGTGACTATCAGTAAATCTAAACAATCTTCTGCTTCATAGCGTCCCTACAGCAAATTACCGGGAAAAGAGGAAAGGGCAAAAAAGAAAGAAAACCAAATTAAAAGAAAAAAAAAAAAAAAAAGATCAAACACCGTCAACTCCTCACACACCTTAATCGGAATCCTGATCCTTCCGTGGCGGTTCCAAATAGCGCCGATCGTCTTTCCTAGCCCGCGGAAATTCCCAATGTCTATGCGTAGCGTTCTCTGCTGGTGACTTACAGCTATTGTTGATGGGGGATATCGTCTTGGCTAATCACACTTCCAATCTCCGACCAGCTGGCCGGGGTAGCAATGCCGCCCGTCGAGCGTCCCAGATCGCTGATTGTGCCGTCGGATGTCATATCGTCAATCGCAGATTCGTAGATCTGGCTGAAGCTTCCCGTAGTGGATGGCGTAGCCGGGCGATCGTCGCGTCTGAAGGCGGCGGGGTCCATTTCCGACAGGTCTGAGAAGGGGGACCGCAACCCCCGCTCAGTGTCGTTGGCGGAAGTCTCATGGTGCGGGTAAATCATCGGAGAAAAATCGACCGTGTGACTAGATGGAGAACCGGGTTGGCTGTGAGTCTGCAGGCCTTTTGCGTATAGATCCGGCTCGGGCCCGTCGGAGGTAGGGGTGTACTCGACCGGCGAACTACGGAAGTTCTGGGGCGAAGGAATATCCAAGTGTAATCCATCTTGACCAGGGACAGTTTCGACAGGCTTGCTTGACTCTGCTCCTTCCACCGGGATCAGCGTGTCTTTCGGCCTGCCTACTCCGCGCTGCGTGATAGACTGCGACCCTGCTGGTTCCACGGCGGTCGAGTTCGCTAGAGAAGAGCTATCCATCGCTGGGCCTCCTTCATGAAGTAAACGGCCATCGTCATCGACCAGGGCATCAAACGACCCGGGACCTGCGCGTTCTTTCCGGGTCCGATGCTCAAGCAAGGATCGTCGGCGCTCCAGGTCCTCCCGGGCCATCCGTCTCCTCTCTTCAGCAGCCGTGCCAACTTCCTCGGTCATCGATATGTCCTGTCGAGCGGGAGAGGTGGCATTTCGCGGCTGGATTTCGTCGCCGAGATTATGCAAGGCAACCGCAATTTTACGGCGTGAGTTGTCGACCCATTGTCGGAACTGAGGGGATTCGTAAACCGCAATACCCGCGGCGACGAGGGCTGAAACAGTAATGACGAGGCCTGCATTTACCGTTAGCATGTTTTGCGTCGTTTTATCCTCGATCTTGATTTCTTTGTGTTGGACCTTGCACTGCGTGTGAGCTGGGGCCCTTGCGGTAGTGGAAAGCATATCGTCATATCAACGACTGATAAGCACACCGCCCCGCTGAGCTTGAGGAATGCACCTAGGGCACCTACGAGGTTGCATTCGATGGGAGAGGAGATACAACATAAGGAACTGCACTGAACCCACCTTTTGCAACCGGTGAGGGCATCTCGATGGTTGCGTCTCTGACAAAAAATGTAGTTTGCTGATGATCTTTGATAGCAGGCGGAAGATCCGATGTCATCGGCGACAAGGCGGCTTCGTTTCCCCGCCCTGCCACGTGACCGCGTCCAGCCCACGGAACCAGAATAGTGCCCGCGTTTTTCCTCGCGTCACCACCGATTAGAGAGTCTTGTATACTTGCTTTGTGGGTTGTCCTGGGATTTCTTACGGGACTCTACCTGAGTATCAAGAAAATCGGACTCGCCATGTCTCGCCCCTCATCCATCTCACAGCGTCCTCTGACGCTCACGGAGGAATTGGAGAAACTGGAACAATCAATCACACTGACGCTTCAAGGTAAACAATGGACTCACAGTGTTCTAACCCAATTGTCTATACTAATTGTACCTGGGATATAGAAATCGATCACAATTTTAGCCAGGCCCATCGCATCGTCACGACGAGCATTCTACCAGTCGTCGAACAATATGCCGAGAGTTCGAGAGATGTCTGGGAGGGCGCCAAAGTTTGTCACAACATACATTGAAGAAGAGAAGAGACCGCGCAAAAACTAATACTATTATCGCCAGTTCTGGAAACAATTCTTCGAAGCCAGTGCCAACGTCTCCCTATCCGGCTACGAAGAGCGCCCCAACGAAGACGACTCGATGCGCGACCAGACCGTCACAGAAGACGACGAATCGGCCAACGTGACCCAGACAACCGAGCACACATCCTACGAGGGGGCCTCGTCGGAACAACTAGACGCTCACCACCGCGGAGACGACCTGGATCTGACAGCACTCAGCCTGTCATCGCACAGCACCCCCCGCCACCCCCAACAGGAGAGACTATCCCACGACAACGACACAACGGTCACCTCGTCGATCGCGCGCCCCTCTCCCTACGAAACACTGAAGCACGAAGTCGACGACTTCGACTCGCCACTCCCGCCCTCGCGCCAATACGGCGCAGAAGAAGAATACGACCTCGACCACGACGACCTCCCCACCACCCCCGGGAGGGGCCCACCGCGGTACGGCGGCCCCTCCGACACGCCCACGATGTCCTCCTCGCCCTTCGTGCCGCCCGTCTCGCACGACGCCCACAAGTCCTCTGACCCCGTCATGCACCGCCTCCAGGACAAGACCTACCGCGTGCAGGCCACGCCCATCGGGAAGTCCTACGGCAACAGGCCCAAGTTCACCGTCACCCCGAAACAAACAACATCATCATCATCCCGCTTCAACTTCGACTCCCCGCTCTCCAGCCCCGAGCTCGAAGCCCCACAGCTCAACGCAGAGATCTTCTCCCCCGTTAAAGGCGACCCCGAGACCCCGAACATCAGCCGCAAGCGTCGTCCCAGCGGGCCTCGCTCGCGCACCACCCCCAAACCGGGTATCAGCGTCTTGACCCCAGCCAAGGGCAAGAAACCCGTCTGGGACAGCGACGATGATTTCGACGACGATGATATGGACTTTGTGGGTGGACCGAGTCCGCCCAAGACGATGCAGTTCCATATTCCGCAGAGCCGATTGATGAAGACACCTGGTTTGTCCCCCTCACCTCACCCTACGATCCTCCCCAACAATCAAACACCACTGACATGAATAATAAAAAAAAAACAGCCAAAGAAGCCTCCAAACGGATCGTCGAAGACCTCCTCTTCACAGCCGGCGCAAACGACACCACAGATGACCTCCCCGAGGACCACAGTCCGAGCGTGATCCGACGGGCGGAGCGACTGGAGGATGAGACTTTCTAATCCATATGCCGGGTCTAGGCAATCCTTCTCATTCATCAATATCCCAATGTCGACCTTTATCTACTCTATCCTATAGAGGTCACGCTGACAATGGGATCGAAATGTAAATATCAAACACTTGTCTATGTATATCAATTTTCCTATCGTTTCATATACCCCACCCCAGATCGATCGAGCATCACGTCGGGTGAGACAGTAGCAGAATAGTACTCACTGTACTTAGTATAGGTAAGACCATCTAGTTTGGACGTCAGATTCCTACCTAGAATAGATAAACAGGCACAGAGTCGACGAACTTAACAATCTGCCTACAATACCAACTTACTGCCTGCCTGCCTACCTGACCTTACCTTACTTCACCATTAAAACATCACCCTACTCCAAAACCAAACCTATTGACAGAACTAAGTAAATAAAATAAAACTATCTTCGAACCTGCGGCATCAAACGGAAGCATGCACACACACACACACACACACAAGGGTATATCGAGCGGGAGGCGCTAATCTGTCGAGGAAGACGGATTCAAATACGGATGGAGAGAGAGAAGCCGAAGGGTAGAGCAGAGAAGAAGTAATAATGATAATGAAACTGAGGCAGCCACGCCAGAGAGTATGGTATGTATGGTATGTACAAAACGTAGTGTAGTGTGTAGAGTGTCTGTCTGTCGGGGTATTCTAACGCTGAACGAGGGGGAGGTGGGTAGTAGTAGTAGTAATAATAATAATAACAGGAGGCAGCGCGGCATTCAAAGTGAAAGAGAAAAAAAAAAAAAAGAAAGAAACCGTCCAGGGCCGAGAACGAGACAAACAACAGCGGGAAAGAATAACAAAACACCCAAAAAGTCAATTGACTTAAACCCTTCAGTTTTTGAACGACCGGGTCCGTTCCACGATGTTAATAACGAGTCGAGTTGAGTAATCAGATGACTACCCCTGCAACCCCATAAATACCTCCTGGCAGTTATCCACCAAGAACTTGAGGACTTCGTTCTTCTTCTGCACGTCTGTCATCTCACGGGCCAGGCTCTGCGGCCGCATGATGGTTGGGGCAAAGACCACGGCGATGTTCTGGCTGCTCATCAGGTTCTCCTTCTCGCGCTCGACGACCCGCTTCAGGTGGAATACTAAGAACTCTAGTACGTCTTGGTGCACGCGGGGCAGTTCGCGGAGACAGTTCTGCAGGCTCTCGATGCGAGCTGCGGTTGATTGGATCTCGCCCGTTTCGATGACCATGTCGTAGACTTCGTAGGTGATGAGTGGGGTGGGGAGTTTGCGGAAGTATTGCTTGAGTGCCGATGTCACGGCGTGAATATCCAGGTCGGGGTCTGAGATGTCGTAATCCTGTGGGGACTGCTCGAAGCCTTCCCGGATGGTTTGGATGGCGGACGCGGCTCCAGATTTGCGATAAATACCCTCCATGTCCATACCTGTGGTTCTCCATTAGTCTGCTGCGTGGATGAGACGGGGGCCGAAAGACGTACCTCGAAGTTCAACTTCTTGGATGCAGCGAGTGATGATAGCAGGGATAATGCTCTTCTCATACTCCATCCGCTGTTCCAGATCGGTGCCAAACAGCGCTACAAAGCAATCGTTAGCTACCACACCGTGATCACAAGGTAATTTGCCATGATCCTTACTTGCAGGTCCATTTTCAGCAACGACCGGAACGGTGTCAGACTGAGGCATCCGACCACCTTGTTGCTTGTTCCGTTGGTTTCCAAAAAATCCGAATCCTTGGCGGCTAGGGTCCTGCGTCTGGGAGCGAGGCAGACCAGGCCCGCCTTCCACCGCATTCTCGCTCGACATGAAGGCGCCCTTGATACCCTTGGTGACACCCTTGGCGACGTTCTGGCCGCCCTTCTTCCAGTTGAACTTGCGAGGCTGTCCCTTCCGGATGCTGACCACCTGCGGCCCTGGAAGGATGGTCGCGGGCTCCGCTTCTTCGGAGATGTTGGCTGTCGAAGCACCGTCGTTGGCGCTTCGCAGGGCGTCGATGGACGACAGCGATTTCTCCTTGCCGTGCGAGTAGATGCCAAGCCCGTTGGCACCGCCTTTGCCTTCGGTGGGTGTGGCCTTGTAGAGTTCCTGGATCTGATGGACGAGCTGGTTGTTCAGTTCGGCCAATTGAGCGTTCTTGGACGACAGCTGCTCGAACTCCTGAAAGCTCTTGTCCTTCATCCGGTTGAGATTCGCCAGTTCCTCCGCGGTGTCGTTCCGGCTCTGCACGAGCTCTTCGATCTGCGGCGTGAAAGAGTCCTTCAGCTGCTGGATCGATTCCACGAACTCCCGGAGAACGTGGTTGGTCAGCTTCCCCAGGTCCAGGTGACCGCTGCCACCGCGCTTTTCGGCTTCCAGATGGTCGGTCAGGACCGACAGCTCGCGCATGACGATCTCCTTCCGCGCATCCAGGACGACCATGGTCGACCGCTTCTCACTGAGCTCCGTGTTGACCTGCTTGACGTCCGCGGTGGCGTGCAGCACCGATTCCATCTCGGCGATCTTCAGCTCCCGCTCATGGACACGCTGGCGCTCCCTGCGCAACTCGCTCCGCAGCCAGGCGACTTCATCCGCAGCCGCGGCGTCAGGAGAGACGGCGGAAGGACTCGCGATGCCCTGGAAGGTTGTCCCGTTAGCTGGTGATCTGGGCGACTTGGAATATCGGGAAAGACGAGAGCCCCTGTCGCTGAAGCTTCGACCGTGACGCACCGAATTTGATACACGGCGCAAAAACGAGTCGCTCGTCTGCGCGGGATGGGGGTCGTCGGGACCCATCAGCCGAGCCATATCTTCATCCATCGACAGGTCGCCGCCTGCGCTATACCGCAACAACGGGGAACCCGTGCGGTCTACTTGCTGGATGGTGGTGATCGAGTTCGGGCGGGGTGGCCGGGATTGGTCCACGCCGACGTCGCCACGTGGAGTGCGTGATTCCCCGATCTTGGTCATGGTCTTGCTACGTTCGTGCCACGTCTCACCGGAATGGACCGACGGTGGCCGGGGGGAATGTCCGGCGGCGTCCCTCCGGGGGGCCTGATACAATTTGCTTTCCAGGGAATCGCCTCGCCGGGGGAGGTGCTGGCTGCTACTCGACGACAAGAAGGAGCGAGACGAATCCAGGGAGCCGCTCGTTTCATGGAGGCGACGGAGCTCATGCGACGGGCGCGTTGGGAAGGTCAGCGAGCTATCCGCCGCGGTCGATCGTTGCGAGCCGAGCGTGGACCCATCCTTCTGCAGGGTGCTAGACGATCTCGTACTCTCCGGACTCGGGGACGAGAAGGTGCTGGTTTCCCCCCGACCCGTCCGCAATTCGGACCGGGAGCTCCGAACCGACTCGGACTTGGTGCGGCTGGGGACCTGGGGGGCCTTGAACCCATCTGCCGGTGGAGCACGCGCCGTACCGTTGGCGGTCGCCGCCAGATCATCCTGGTTCCAACGGCCCGTGTCCGCCGCGGCACGGTCCCGCCCCTTCTCTTGGTAGGCAATGTGAGGGGATGTGTGGCCGGACGGAAGAGAACTGTGACCGTCACTGGCGTGGTCGTGGTCGCGCGACGGCCGTTGCTCTTCCGACGGGTCGAATGCGACAGGGATGAGCAATTCGCCGGCGCTGTCCGCTTCCGCCTCCCGGGGAAGCGTAGAGTGACGGTGGCTTCGGTAGGTACTCGAAGGAAGGATTAGATTGTCTAGAGAGAAAAAGAGGCACCGGCCCTGTTAGACTTCCGACCCTGTATGAGGGCGCGAAACCCGACTTCGGGGAAGAAGAAGAAGAAGACAAACGCACCTGGCTGTTCGGCCGCGGGTCGAGGGGCCGCAGCGCTCGGGGTCTTGCCCGCGTCCAGCGCAGGAGCGGCTCCTCGAGATGCGACCTCGGTCGTCGCATCCGCGTAGGAATCCGCGGCGAGGTCCTCGGCGACCCCGCGGGAGAGCGACGCGGCTTCTTGGGGGGGGAGAGAGGGAAGCGACTTGTCCAGCTTCACGCTCGACGAGGGTGGTTTTTTCGACGCGGTGGCGCCTCGGTTCCGTTTCCGACGACGCTGCATCAAGGACTCATGGCAGTCCATGCAGAAGATGCCCTGGGAGGTGCGGGCATAGCGCAGGTTTTCAATCTTTCGTTTGCAGTTGCGGCAGCGAAAACATTGGGAGCAGAAGGCTTGCTCGCCGGTCAAGATGGCCAGGTCCTCGATCTTGTTCCCGCACGAACTGCAGCTATAGGTACAGTTGCTGCAGATGAGAGAGCCATCTCCGAGAAGGAGCAGGTGCGCATCGGAGTCGAGAAGGGTGCCACAGGTGCTGCAGCAGAAGCATTCGATATGCCAACGATTACCCGCTGTAGGAAGAAGTAGCGGTCAGCGCCATGTTTTTTTTTTTTCTTTCAGTCCGGGTATTCCCTAAGCGACTCACCCAATTCAAAGGCCTTGCCCTCTTCGAGGATCTATGCACGTTCAAGCATGGGTTAGCATCTCGACCGGTCGATTCTCCAACGACGGGGTCCACGCTTACCTCGCCACAGCCCTTGCAAGGGAACGGGACGTCCTCCTGCTCCATTGGTGATTCCGGGTAGACAGCGGGGGATTCCATGATGAACGATAGTGCCGGGATTGAGCCAGCGATATGACTGCAATTCCGATCGCGACAGGGCTATCGTCCGAGTGTAAGGTGAAGGGGGGGAAGGAGGAGGGGAGAAGTAGGTGTAGGCGAAGAGCGCGCCCGCGATAGAGTTGCCAAGAACGCCGGTGGAAGTTGGAAAGGGGAGTCAACAATCAAGCCCCGCATCCGACCCGACACATCAGCACCGTCAGAGATATCGAGGGTTCAAATTAAAGGGGTGGTGAGAGCGAGGTCAAGGCAATCGACGGTAACGAGAGGAGAGTTGGCGCGTGGGAGCGCAATTTCCCCAGGGTCTGATTCACGGAACAAGGAGGACTTGGACTAATATGGACCATCAACTAACAGTCTGCGAACGGATCGACTAGGGTCTGGGGAGTAAAGTCTGATAGTAGGGGAAAGACAAGGATCGGAGGGGGAGGGGAACGTAGTTATTTTTTTTTTTGGAAATCAAAAAATA